ATTCAGTCTGTTGTATGTGTATCCCATTTGGCCTGCAGCAGCCCCACAAGAGTGGATTTAAGTGGTGTTTTTCCAGCTCCTCTGGCATATTTTCTCCCAGGTGAGTGCAGCAGCTTGCCAAGTGCTGAGAGCTTTCTGGCCCTCAGCTCCTGCTTCCTTTATTAAAGACGCCTGTTGCTGCAAGTTCATTTGTTGAGGCTCAGATACTATCACATCATTTACAGTTGGATAGAAAAAAAAAAAAGGTTTTTGGGGAACGTATAGGAGGTGAGTTGAGAGGAGAATGCAAAGCAGGAGAGCTTAAAGGAGAAAGACAGGTGTGGCACTTTATTCAGAGGAAGGTAGTTTGGCGGTCTCCTGGTCTGTGACTTTCATTTTATATGCAGTGACTTCTGCATATACAGTCCAGACATGAAGTCCTTGGACAGTTACACAGATCTTTTACTCTTCAGGCTCTGTGCTTCATTCAGTGAAATAATGGCTACCACAATTGAGTGACTTTGAAACAGTTTACCTTGGTTTACATCACTTGTGTGCGAGGCATAGCACTTTTGATGCAGAATGCCCAGATTGCAAGAGTTCAAGTGGTCAAGAGTAATTAGAGACTACATTACTGTTATTTCATTGTTAGTTTCTGAGCAAAAGAGCTCACGCTTAGTTAAGCTTTCCACAGCTCCATCAGTTTTTAAAAGTTGATTTCTACAGTTGTGGCCAGAGCAGCTGAAGGCCAGCGTCTTTCAGGAGCATCTTTATGAGATCTTCTGACTTCCCATTAAAATAGATAATTCATTAAAACAACCAAATAGGGCTGCCTTCTTAAGGATTCGTCTGTAGAAATTAGCAAAGCCTAGTAAGTGCTGGAGCTGTTTGTGGATGGCTGTTAATTACATGAGAGTAGCAAATTGACAGGGGCTGTGCTGCAGGTTTCATGAGCTAGAAGTCAACATCGAGAATCAAAATACCTTGAGGGTCTGGTAAGTTTGTACTCGGGAAGTCTGCTTGAGAATCGAATTCAAAGTCAATAAGTGGATTGCTTGACAAATTAGCTCGTCTAAGAAAGTAGTTTAATCTTGTGTGGCTAATTTGTCTTTAATATTTTCAGCTAAGCCTAACACAAATGCGGCTTGCAGCGCCACCTAGTCCCAGCTGCTCTCGGCCGCAAGAATACGGAAGTTGATCATGTTCTGGGCAACTGGGGTGGAGCCTTAGTGGTTTCCTTTCCTTGAACACACTGGCAGTTAGTCAGTGCAGGGCTTCATTCTGTTATCTCCCACAGAACCAGCTCCTGCTGCCCCAATCTGGCTCCTTGGGTGAAGAGGGCTTGTGAGTTTCAGCAGAGTCTGTTTTGGCCAGGTTGTTCTGTGTGGTTTGGTTTGGTTTTGGACTCAGATACAAAATGCAGTTGTTGTGACAAAAGACGGATTTATTGAGCAAAGTCTTTGAAGGAAGGCAGAGTGGCGGCTGAGGGAGGCTGGACATGAACATGGAGTGTCTAAACTGAATGGAAGGAGAGAGGGGCGGGAAAAACAAAAACATAACACAAAACATGAGAGTGCTGCTCTACAGTGTGACTAGAACTCAGCTAATCGGAGGCTTTTCATGGATGTGTTAGTTCAACTGATGAAAAGATTTTAGAAAAGTTTACTAAAATCAGTCAGAAGCAAAATGAGCTCCTGTGTGACATGTAGACTGACTGATTATACAGTACAACTGCCTGTAATAGAAGGATGGATGTTTAAAAATATAGTAACCTTAATAAATAAACCACTCAGGCAGGATCTGACCTAAAAATGAGATTAATGTTGGTTTATTTCAAATGTATGATGAAGCTTCTGTGACACCCAACTTTATTGTTGAGTTTATTCATATTAGGGAGTTGTGGTGAGTTCTGTGGAGTGGGTGATGTATACAGTGGAAGTGCTGTGCTGAATGGAATTCCTTTGAGGGTGAATAAGCTTTTAGAGACTCACAGGCAGACAGACAGTTAGCCTGGGACTTATTACATAAAACCTGAACATTGAGAGTGGGTGTCCTGTTTTCTCAGCTGAGTGTAAAAGAAGGGGAGCAGGAGAACTGAAGTCTTAGCTCTCAGCACTCCATTTTCAAAGAGGTACTTTTGCAAATCCTAGTGTGCACACACCTCTTTATTGACTAATACTGCCAGCAGTTCTGGACATAAGCATCTCTTCTTGCAAGGATAATTCTGGTTTATTATAACTTGGCTCTTCTTTCTGAAGTTCTCTGTGTAATAATAACCTCATACTCACCACGTTCACTGCTAAGATCTGAGAACAGTGCACTTCAGGAGTAATTTAGGTCAGGAAGTAACATTAGCTCAGACTCCTTACACTGTATTGTACATTATACAACAGAGGAGACTAGACCCCTGTCCATTATCAGTTAAAAGTCAAATGAATCAAAGTTCTAACATCTTACAGTAATTACAATACCACAAAGTGTAATTGCTCTTATATAAAATAAAAAATGACATCCATAGACTTAGCTAATAGATTTATTATTTTGAGCGCAGGCCTCATAGTAGTAGTAGAAATCAATGCATAAAAGCTGCACACCCTTCTTTACTGAGATTCAAATCTTTTATTTTTTCAAAACTTCATATGTCATCTTTATTTTTGATGACAGATTTACCCCTCTTCAGGTTCAAAGATACCACGTTTCTGGAGAGATGTTTTGTCATTCTTCACAGACTATTTTTTCAGCTGCTCTTCGGTGGAGGGGTTGTGTTGCTCTACTTTCCCTTTAAAATACCCCAAAGGTGTTCTGTTGGATTCGAGTCAGGTGACATACTTGGCCAGGTCATACTTTCCACCTCTTTGAGACACAGCCTATTTGTCCAAAGTTGAGAAACGTCTGGTGTTCATGGGTCTTTTTATTCCATGTTAATGGCTGATAGGAAATCTCAGGTGAACCCGTTTTAGTTTCAGTGATCACAGGTTTCCTGAAGTGTGTCAGTGATCACAGGTGTATTCGGTTTTATTGCACTGCGCTGTGGCATGTGTCTTCAGTGTCGTCTTTGTAAAGTATTTGTTTTTGATTGTTCATGAGAGGAAAAACTCTATTTATCAACTTAGAAATCATACATTTATTGAAATATGAGGCCGGTTTGAATCATGTGACAGTTTGATGATGTGACACAGGGTTGCACTCTCTTCTGTTGTATGTTTTCTTGACTGCAGGTATGCTCAATATTTACGACTAATAAACATTTAAGAGAACATTCATTTTTGGAAAATCTCAACAAAGTTTTTGAGGACACACATGTACCCTAAAATGATAGGATCAACTTTGAAAAACGCCCTCCCTGTCCAAGCAGTCTTCCACTATATGATCATCAATCATCATTAATTGCAATGCAGCTGAACTGTGTGAAGGGTTTCTGATCAATTCTATATTGTGCCGGTATAATGGATGCTTTGCATAAAACCCTATGATTATGAATTAGTGGTCAGGGTGATGGTTTGGACACTGAGCTAAATATGTAATGGCCGAGATGACTGGAGGGTGGTGTGAGTAATGGCTGCTGTATGGGGCTGGAGTCTTTTCTTGTGAATCATTAGTAGCATCACTTTCCTGTTCACAGATCTGTGCCGTTTTTAATCAGACTTTGTCAGGCTTGGGTTTCTTTGGATTGAAGAGATAAGACGAGAGGAGAAAATAATCAGTGAAAGCTGCAAGAACTGTGAAATAAAGCTTTGAACCACGTGTCTGTTTTGTCTGGGATCTTGTGCTTAATTTCTTCAGACCTCATAACAGGATTCAAACAGGAAATGTGGTACTTGCATATGTATATCATCACCTCCTTTGCTGTGCGTTAACGCCTTTTGGCTGCGAAACAGTGAAGTCTCTGTGTCCCTCATTTCACTCTGGTGTCTTACATAAGCACTACAGTGCTGTTTGTATTTGGTCTATTCCCTCTGGTAGAAGAGTGCTGCAGCCTCTTCACTTTGTACGTATCTGCCGCCTGTTGTCTTGTGCTGTGTTAATGGTCTGTCTGAACACCTGACAAGCTGTACTGTGGAAGCAAACCTCTGGACATGAAGGGGAGGTGGCTCTAAGCCGCAAGAGTCATTCAAATTCAAAAAATGTTCAGTTCAATTTGTGTGGTTCTCACTGAGAAATCTTTTTTTTTTCAGTTGTTGCTGGTAGTTGTACAAATATCAAATATCCTTGGCTTTATGCGCCACTGTGAATATGAAAGAGTGTCAATGTTAATACACACTACTGTTAGAAACCCAAATGAAATCAGTTACATCCATTATTTACCAGCATGTTGGGTAAAGTACATTTTGTAGACTTCCCTAGAGACACTGCATTGGTCTTTGTTGACTCAGAAAATTCTGTCAGGCTGTTTAAACACTCAGCTGTCATGTTAGAAATAAGCGGCTGAGTAGTCAAATGTGTTAACTTAAACAGAACAGTTAACTATTTCCTATCAGCATTCCTCTCTTTTGCCTTTTTTTGCTGCAACAATGATTTTTGCTGTAATGTTTTTCATCTTTCCATCGTACCAACCTGTGCCTCTGGGCTGAAGTAGTTGGCACACATCTGCTCAGGTTGTGCAGAAGAAGAGTCACATGTGTCCAACAGCCTCTTTTATGGGACTGGACACAGAGCCTGGAGACGACTCTTGATGAAAACCATCATGATACCTATTATCTCTGACAGGGTTTAGGGTTTTGTCGAGCTGACTTACACAAAGAAAACCTGGCTATGATGAACTCGCTTTGCAGTACGTCCCCTGTATTTCTGTTTTGTCCCCCTTCTGCGTTTATGAGTGCAGGGCCACTTGCACATGCAGTGTGATCTTACTCTGACGTACTTCAGACTAATTATTGACAGATGTGCTGAAAAGTCACCCTAGTGTGAATCCAGACAGACTCACACATGTGTTGATAATGGCAAGTCCTTCTCTGGTGTGTATTTTTGTGCCTGAGTGCATAGTACATTAATATCTTTGACTTATTCTTTTTTCTTCTCAGTGGTGTGTCACCTACCTTGTATAAATGGTGGCAAGTGCAGCACCAGGGACAAGTGCCAGTGCCCTCCAAACTTTACAGGGAAGTTCTGCCAGATGCCGGTTCAGAACGGACACCAGCAACACCAGCAGACATCAGGAGGCTACAGCCAAACTCAGGTCCACTCCACACACACCCTGCCTCTGACGTACGGCAACGGCCAAACTCCCGGTGAGTTGAAGACACAACTGTGATATTAGTGCTGCTATTCAAAGCTCAGCAAGTGGCTCTGTGACCTTGATGGAAAATGTCAGTGGAAACAGTAAAAGGCTAGCACTTTCCTATTCCTTATCAGCGAACTTCCTCTAAAAGATGAATGTTTCAGTCCATTTACGTCAAGTCACGCATTGCAAGGGCTGCATGGAAGATTGTAGAAAACACAGTTCTCAAATGTATAATGCTACAGCTGTAATTTGTAGTAAATGACCTAAAACACGATGCATAAACAGCATGGCCTTTTAAGCAAGTAATATAAGCCCTGTTTCCTTCCATTAGAACTGGTTACTGGTCTGAAACAGAAGACTGTGGTTGAACAGAAAGAGGATATGTTCTCTATAAATCCTAATGGATTGTTTCAAAGTGAAATGTTGGAATCATCTCTCCATCCTGAACTATTGTCTGGATCTCCCATTGTTCTGTTGTTTTGTTTGTTTGTTTTTGTTAGCAATTAGTTTAAAATGTTAACTTAGGAGCAATTTAAAGTAGCTATGACTGACCTCTAAAAGGCTACACTGCATTTTTTTACATCACTTTTGGTCTTTTAATCCCATTAAACCATTGAAACTAACGCAGCTGGTAGCTTACTTATCAATTCTATAAGTGGGAAGAAGCCAGAGACATCTACATAGATTTTAGTGATGAACAATGAATAAAAACGTCTAATTGTGTTTTAAAGTATAGAGTATATTCAAATATCCCAGCTGAGGAAGTCAGTTGTTTGCGTGTATCAAATAGGCTGAAAGTGATTGTGTTCAAATATCATTGATATTTAGATTCTGACAAAAACACATTTCAACTTGGGCCCTAAAAAAATGATAATAAGCATTTGTTTGACAATTTTCTGAAATTTTATTCTGTTGTTCAGACTATTTTGTTGTCCTCCTAACAAAGAGTCACTTGACAACAGTTAGGGTAACAGGAAGCAGCTATGTGGCATCTGTCAGATGTTCAAAGGTAGTGACTCTCAGAGAGTGTGCTGCAGGGAGCCCAGGTTGTTATATATCAATGTGATGCTTCTAAATGTAAAACACATTATTGCAAGTGTATTAAAATAGCAGAATCAGAAAAAACTTTATTTATCCCCTAGGGGCAATTGGGTATTAGAATTAGAAAGACTTTCATCTAATTCTAATGTAAGCACGTGTATTTTGTCCCACTATGTGCTAAATAGGTACATGCTACAATCAGCTTGGCCATCACAAATGTGCGATGAACCCTTCAGTCTGTGACCGTAGGCACAGGCGTGTAGGAGACTTTAAGCTTTGATTATACTCTAGTTTGGACCAGCACATGGACAGCTCGGGACAACAACAAATATGATGCTGTTGTTACACTACTGGAGGCTGTGGGAATAAACTTTTGAGGACTCAGTTCCATGCATGCTCAGTTTTTCATATCCCTGATGTATGTGGAGAGGTCTGCACGGACACAAGCGGACCCTCATGTACTTGCATATGCAGTAGTGTAATGAATAAAGAAAAAGTAGAAAACGGGAGAAAGTCCAATGCATGCTTTCTGGGGTAAAATTCTTCACCTGTCTAAGTTTACGAGGGTCTGCTCGTACACCCTCTGCAAGCTTCTACGTGTAGCCCAAAATCAGTGATTGAGTTCAGCATCCACATTGTAATCATGCCAACTGCGCATGCAGCAGGAAGACAAACCTTCCACCTCCAGTGCCTAAACACTGTATTCTAAGATCTAATTTCTCTGGAAATCCTGTTATTTGTGTCCCAGTTATGTTTCAGCACACCTCAGCTATAATCACACTGACACGGTGCCACAGCCCAATTTGTAATTAGCTGCTATATCCTGTACAAAGTACAAAGTCATTACTTCTCAGAACCATCCACAAGAGTGGATAATGTTCCTATTGTAGGATGAATAGAAGTGCATGTGCATCTGCTGTGTACTTTCAAATTGTGCATCTCAAAAGTTTTATTTATTAGACCCGAGCCTCTTCAATATCTTTGAGACTTCAAACCCAACACCGGCTCTGTGTTGTAACTTTGTAGTCTCTGATGAAAGCTGAAACATCTTCTGGATTATTTTAACAGGGGTACTGCCTATGCGAAGTAAACTAATCTGTATGTGTGAAATCAAAAAACTTCTGCACAATCCTACTCTGCAGCAATGTTAGCGCTCACATTGTCCTGTGTTCCTCCAGTGTTCAGCCCGAGCATTGTCAACATCCACATCAAACACCCTCCAGAGGCCTCTGTTCAGGTGCACCAGGTGTCTCAGCTGGACAATTACCACAACAATGGGCACCAGCTGAAAGGCTCCCAGGCAGGCTCCTCTTCATCCACCAGCTACACCTACCATCACACCGAGAGCAGCCAACATCACGGCTACAATGTGGTGTATCCCAGCCAGCATGGCTACCAGGTTCCTCAGTACCAGCCGGTCACCTCAAAGAACACCCTGGGTCGCTGTTTTCAGGAGACAGCAGGCAGTCAGGTACACTGTCAGAATTGTCTACCTTATGTTAGCTGAACTGCCATGGCAACTCATCTGATCGAACAAACAACACTTATATTTTGTGTTTATTCATAGTCGTCAACGAAAGTTTACATACACTTCTAAAGACTGTATACATTATGGCAACGTTGAGTTTCCAATGACTCCTCTCACTCAGAATTTTCAATGATGGCATTAGTGGAACACATGCATAGATAATCACAAGAAATGCTAACACACTAAAGTAAGACACTGACATTGAAACTGTGTGCAGCAGATAACTAAAATGGTTGTAGACGTGTTTGTTTTAACCTTAGGTGTCATAGTGGAATTTAGTTGAAAAATCTTATCTCAGACTTCGAGTCATCATTAAGGAAGTTATGGTCACACAGCCAAAACAAAGCAGCTTTAGACAGATGGCTGATATTGATATCAGTTCCTGCAGATGAGGGACGTAAAGTGAAGAACAGATTGATTATCTTCACTATCAAATTTAAGTGAAGATCCTCTGCTAGGTTTTCTATCATTAGGTCATGTTTTGCAGAGCAGCTGTTGCTGTAAAGATCAGTGGCTGTCAGTGAAAGAGGAGTATCGAGAAGAAGTATGTGGTCTTATCTGCCCATGTTCATCCGATATTGGGTGGAGGAGGAGTGTTTGAGGATCAGACATATAGAGAAAGTACACAGAAAACAGAAAGATGTTTTTGTTCAGTTAAAAATAGTAATTTATCTTCTTCCCTTCTTTAATTTGTACCCATCGCTCTCCATCTGGATGTAACAGTGTGGGAAGGCTCTACCAGGTCTCACTAAGCAGGAGCAGTGCTGTGGGACCATTGGTACCTCCTGGGGGTTCCACAAATGCCAGAAGTGTCCAAAGAAACCATGTAAGTACGGCCCTCTTTCTCAGTGTGTTGTTCTAATTACATGCCCATGTACATACTAGTGAGAACCAGCATCAAACCTAAGTTCTTGAAAAGCGCTATACAAATAAAATGAATTATTATTATTATTATAAATTCACACAAAGATTTTCATATGTTTAGGATTAATGTGCTGCTATATGTACTATATCTCTATGGGTCATGCTCTCTTTGCACTTTCTACCTTTGTAGTGGAGATTGTGGTTAACAAGGAGTTGTACAAAACAGCATATATCTATCCAACTACAAAACAGCATATATCTATCCAACTAGCGTGAACCCTTTGCAACTCTCTGCTGCAAAAAACATTATTAACTGTTTTAGATTGACATAAATAATATAAACGTTTTGTTTTTCAGTCAGATTAAATAGTAAACGCGGAGATTAGCTGCCCCAAATGACCAGTTTGCTAATTGAATTACAGATCTCCGTCTGGGGATACTTGTCAGTTGTTTATGCAGCTATTTCTGTCAGGCTGCCTGTCTGGAAACTCAGCACCTAAATGCAATGGTGGATTACCCACTGGACCCCTATGAGGACTTCCATCATTTCAGTTTAACAACTGGCTGTGTTTATTGTAACATAGTCCACAGAAGAGAAGACAAATCAAACTGAAGACGAGACACGGAGGATGGAGGCAGAAGTACAAAGATAACATGACATCGTAAATGACAGCATACCTCCAGAAACCGGAGGTGTTCCTGCGTTCACTACTCTGCTGCTGACTGAGAAAAAAATTGCTGCTCGAAAGAGTGGTACTGTCTGATCCATACGTCCATTTTCTTCTGCTTTTTTGAGTCGGGTCGTGCTGGCAGCAGGCTAAGCAGAGCTTTTCCGATGTCCTTCTTCCCAGCAATGTTTTCCAGTTCTTCCAGGGGGATCTGAAGGTGTTCCTGGGCCAGATGAGATATGTAATCCCTCGATGACGTTCAGGGTTCACCCCGGGGTCTGCTCCTACTTGGATGTGCCCAGAATCAGATGCTAATCAGATGCCTTAGCCATGTTAACTGGCTCCTTCTGATGTAAAGAAGCAGTGACTCTACTGCAAGCTCCTTCCGGATGTTCATGCTTCTCACCCTGTCTCTAAGGCTGAGTCCAGCCATCATATGAAGGAAACTCATTTTGGCAGCTTGTATCCATGATCACATTTTTTCAGTAGCAGCAACTCACCTCCAACACAGAAGGGGCAAGCCACCGTTTCTGACAGAGATCCATAGCTGGCATTTGGGCATGAATATGTCCGACCTATTTCAGGGCCGTTGTGGTCAGTCGACAAGTGTGGAAGGAGATCTGTTATGCAGTTAGCAAAACGTCTGTTCCAGACAGATATTTTCTGTGTTTACTTTCAGTCAGACTAAAAAACTAACATCCATCCATCCATCATCTATACACCGCTTAATCCTCATTAGGGTCGCAGGGGGGCTGGAGTCTATCCCAGCTGACTCACTGTGAAGGCAGGGGACACCCTGGACAGGTCACCAGTCTATCGCAGGGCTACACTTAGAGACAGACAACCAAGCACGCTCACATTCACACCTACAGACAATTTAGAATCACCAATTAACCTCAACATGTTTTTTGGCTGTGTGGGAGGAAGCCAGACAACCCGGAGAGAACCCACACTGCACGGGGAGAACATGCAAACTCCACGCAGAAAGATTCCGGGTGTCCTCTCACTGGGACGCGAACCGGCGACCTTCTTGCTGCGAGGCAACAGTGCTAAAAAAATAACATTTAAAATGATATATGTAAAGATCATGTTTTTTTATTCTTTTTATAGAAAGCTGCTAGGAGTTCATGCTCGAGCAATATCTGCTGTTTTGTGCAACTGCATGTTTCCTCAAGATCACAGAGGCGGAGAGTGCAAAGTTAGCATGACCCATAGAACCACAAAACCCAAATTGATGGGAAGTACATCAGGTTGAAATGAACTAGAAATGTCCTACACTGTCGTATAACTCTGTCGGCTTAATAACAATGAGAAATCCTGTGTTTGGATGTTGGAGTGACTGTTTTTGTTTACATTTGAATCATGCATTTTACCTCTAAAATAGTTCTTAAAAGTCCTTCAAACTGACTGAAAAATTAATTTTGTTAATAATTGCACATGTCTGCTAGATATAATTCTTTTAATAAACTCTTACTGATTTTCATGGCAGTGAAGGAGGTTAATCTACAAACACACTAATCCCTGTAAAGGTTGCCTAATGATTCTTTCTGCATCCTGTGACTAACTACATGCAGCATTGAGCAATCTGCCCAAGATGATCCTTTAAACCAAACTGAATTCCCCGTGGGTCTGTGGCCCAGTGTGAGTTCCACCAGCACTTACTCACATGGAAATATGAAAAGATACCAAACATGGGCAGCAACTGCTAATGTCAATACTCAATCAGCATTGTGGAGATACAGGTGTTCACCAGAAAACTATGTTATTGTTTCCATTAAAGGAAGTGTAGCATCAGTTATTATTGTAGCTTGACCCATGCTAGGGACAGGAAGAGTGTGGATATCTCCACCCCTGCTGCTTCAAGTTTATTATTATTCTTTTTTTTAATCACTCATAAGTTCCCAGAACTCTATAGTGACACAATACAAAGTCACTTTACTGCCTTTTTGACAATATTTGACTGCAACTAATTAAGTCTGTGGACCACAAGTTTCATTAAACTTAATAATCATTGAAGATGTGTTTTTAAGATTGTGAGTTAGATATAAAAGTAGTTTGCATTTCAACAATATCTTCCTCTCTGTCCAGCTTTTCAGACATAATCCAGTTCCTATGAAACATGATCCAGATGATAGTGCATATAACTCATCTGACTTTATCTGCGCTATGGAACGCTGAAAGTTTAAAGAAATGTCAACAAGGATCTCAGCGTACTGTGCCACTGCGGATTTGAGAAACCTGCTGTATCAACTTTCTTGGCAGCCTAATTAACCCATTTTTTCACACACTGTGTGTTTGGCAGTAGTCAGAAAGAGATCTTTACTGACAGTGTGCGGTTTCTTAGCACAGGCTTGGTGATATGAGATTAAAAAGCACAGCCTCAGGGCTCAGTCAGAAATGTTCTGAGCTGTTTTACGTCACTTCACTATAAGCTGGCTGCTCTGTTGTGGAAGAATTCAACTGATGTTTCTCATTTGTTTATTCTGAAACAGTTCTGATGGATGAACAAATAGTCTTTAAACATAACTACATTCTTAAAACTACTTTGATGAATTGATTCCTGAAGATACTGCAGTACACAACAGAAGTAGGTACACTCCTTGTGCAATATCACAAAACTGTATCACCTCTCAAAAACGGCATTATTTCGAAGTTGAACAGTAGAATTTTTCCTTCTATGAACGACCACAAACAATTGCTTTAGAAAGTCTATATTGAAAATAATTGAGAATACAAATGAGAAACTCGTACCTATCGGGTGTGTCTATCTGCAAGTCTGCATCATGGCTCCACTTGGTCTGTGGCACATGGGATTTTCAGAGGGATTGCCAACTCTGATATAGAGAATTTACAAAGACGTAAAAGGATGCAAGAAGATTAGGGTTCAATGAAAAACATAATGGAAACACAGCTCAGGAGGTATAGAATGAGCCATAGCGCCACTGATCAGAGCTGAAGTGGTCATTCGGCTACAATGACACCATGAACAGTTTACTACTTGTCCAGTCTAGCTCTGAAAAATAGTGTCCTGCATGTTTTGCGTGCAACTTGCCAGGCCTGCCACAGTGAATGCATCGTTCCAACAGCAAAACAGGTGGGCTTGTGATGATATGGGGCTGCATGAGTGCAAAAGGTATTAGGGAGATCACATCTATGGATGACACCTTGGATTCCTGTGGATTTACCAAAATACTGGCGAGACAGATGACTCCCAGTCTGCAGAAGCTTGCCAGAAGAGGAATATTACAGCTTGACAATGATCCGACGCTCACTGTCAAAATCGCACAAGAAGAAAAAAGTGAAAACAATGGCATGGCCCTGTATATTACCTGACTTGAATCCAACAGAACACATTTAATTTTTTTAATTTGGCACGAGAGCAAACACTGTAGTTGCATGACTGTTCAACGTAGAAGTAACTCAGTTACTGTAAGGTGATTCAGTAGAGAATCATTTGGTATTTAAGTGATATAGTATATGTATACTTTAAAGATGAGCTATTCTTCAAATAAAATGTGAGACTGGGCTTTCCTTGCAATGGAAGACAGTCAGAGCAAAAATATCTAGCTGGCTCGAAAACCTACCCCCTAAAAATAGTTTTTTTTAACACGGCTCGACGTGTGTCTCTTGCTGCCATTACTTTCAGCTAGCAACGGGCAAAATAAAGATGCAGAGCCAGAGAACTTAGGAAACATTATATGAGCCTTGTGCTGGGCTGGGTATTAGCAGACAGGTGACTTTCACCCCGTGAGTTATTTCCAGAGAGGAAAAGCACTAAATGCCGTGGTGGCATGCAGTACCGGCCCTCGCTTCAGAGCTCTTTATAGAGGGGTTGTTACCCAGCTAAACTGAGTGTGTGGGGGAGTTGGGGAGGGGACTGCCAGCCTTTTTATGTAGTAGCTGGCTATTCAACACTAATCCCTTTATAGAACTATGGAACTTGTCTTTGAAGCCAAAGCTACTGGATGTAGAGCATGAAAAGACATGCTCTATTGTAACAGCTACAGTACCTCCCACACCTCAACTTAAGAGAGAAGGCCTGGTAGTGGTTTCATGTGAAGAACTGAAGAAAAGTCTCATAATCAATATAACCAAACATATAAACTCACTGCAAATGGTTTGTGTGTAACAGAACATTCAGTAATACTATCACAGCATCCTAATCCAGACTCAAGGTTCACAAGGAATATAGCTGAAAAGAATGAGAGCATTTTCTGGACATTCTGAGTTTCTGCTGGTACGATGGTAAATCACTGATTGCTGTGGCAGGTTGAGTGTTTTAAGGCTTGGTTGGACATGACTGTTGAGTCTCCAGTGCAAAACAGGAGCGGCTATGTAAAGAAATAAATAAATAAAATCAAAAGTTAAAAATCTGTGAAACACAAGATAAAAGTTATCATGAACGTCTAAGATTTAGTTTAGTGAGAAACACCATGTCACCAAGCATAAAGTAATCTAAGCTGAACAATACATTCAGCAATTTAAAGAACTCACAAACTTCTGAATTCTACAGCTATGGTGTTGTGGTAATTGTAGTAATTAGAACAGCAGTTCTTAACCATACAGTGAGTGGATGATTTCATTTTCTTTTGAGGATGAACCCCCAACCCTGATTAAACTGTACAGTCGTCCTCAGATTTATTCATATTCTTCCTTTAAAGAAAAGGCAAAATTCACAATAGTCACTCAAATAACTAGAAACTAAAAAAAGTATTTTATTAACCAAACATTTGCTAAATTATAATTTAGTGAGGGCTGCAAGGTGGCTTGGTGGTTAGCACCGTCGCCTCGCAGCTTAAAGATCCCTGGTTCGTGTGCCGGTGAGAACACCCAGGAGTTTACATGTTCTCCTCGTGCAGCGTGGGTTCTCTCCGGGTTCTCTGGCTTCCTCCCACAAGGTCCAAAAACATGTTGAGGTTAATTGGTGATTCTAAATTGTCCATAGGTGTGAATGTGAGTGTGCTTGGTTGTCTGTCTCTAAGTGTAGCCCTGTGATAGACTGGTGACCTGTCCAGGGTGTCCCCTGACTTCACTCTGAGTCTGCTGGGATAGGCTCCAGCCCCCCGCGACCGCAGTGAAGATTAAGCGGTGTATAGCTGATGGATGGATAATTAAGTGAAATAAGACATTGCTTTTGAATTGTGGTTGAAAAGAATAATTTTTAAAAAACAAATAAATCTGTCCTGGACAAATTAGAGCCCTTTGCTGATGAGCAGTGGGTCCAAATCAAAATACCTGTCAACAGGTGCAGAAGTCTGATTGAGAGTTACAGAAAACACTTGACTGCAGTGATTGGCTCAAAGGGTTGTTCAACGAAATATTAGTTTACAGGTCCCATCATGCTTGTTTTTATTTACCATCTGTTGAATCACAATTCAAAAACAATGTCATGATTTCATGAAATTTTTATTTTTTATTACTTTTGTCAATTTCAACTTATTTCAGTGACAGCTGTTATTTTCCTTCTTTAATCTGAGGGTATGAATACATTTGAGGATGACTGTATAAAACCATAGTTAGTGATTTAAAAACTATATCTATAAAGGTACATTTTAGGGTGACAGTAGATACTATAAACACAATGCAAGATGTTTAACTTAGTCTCTGGCTTGTCTCGCTGCACTGCAGTCATGTCACTCAGTTGTTTGGTCTCACCTTGTACTCATATGAAAAAACTCTTCAGTCCAGGTGGACAATTCCTATTCTACAAACCACAAATTTAGAAACTCACATTTTCACTACAGATACTACATGTGAAGTCAAGGACAAAAAATGCATGTCTGAAAACAGAATGTGTGTATGAATTCATGCAATGCGAGTTACACATCTGTAGAATATTTTCTGTCGAGCCAGGAGCAGGCACTGTTCAGACTCTGTTAACTTTTGGCCAGTCAAAGGAGCTTGTTTAGGTCATGATTCTGTATTCAAAATTCATCAAAAGTTCCATTTTTAGTCCTTATTTGTTTGAAATTGAAAGCTTTCATTCATTTTAGAGATCATTCTTGGTGATAACGAGAATTTCAAACATGACAAACCCTATCAGTAGGCCGGTGTGCAAACTTTTAACCCACGTGTCCTAAATACCATGAAAAGCAGCACTATACCTGACTATTCACATACAGCATTTCTGTGGGAATCACTACAAGTCCAGAGGTTTGCGCCCCACTTTTCTCCTCAGGAATGGTGGAGGCATGAGTTTATTTTATTATTTTTTTTAGAGTCAAGTGTGAAACAGTCCATTGTACCATGGAGACACTGGTAGCTGGTAAATAAACTGGCTTTATTAGTCAAACAAACATGGCCTTATTGTTTCCCACTGAGCAAAGTATCAATCTGCTTTCAGGTATTTGAGTACCACCTCACCACTGGTTCCTTTGTCTGCCATTACAGCAGGGCCTAGTTCCCAACTTGCAGCAGAGATTTACAAGAGTTTGACTTCTCAGTCTGTGGTT